GAATCTCACAGAAGGGTCAAAACAGGAAGACAAGGTTACTGGGAGAAAACGGCGAAAATCAGTAGCCCTCGGCACCAAGAGCCCTCGGCACTAAGGGGGTCCCCGGTACTCAGAGCCCTCGGCTAATCAGCTACGGCCGAGGGCACCTTTTCCGACATGATATCCGCTCCACATGCGTATAGATCACCGTACCAAGTACAACGTCACATCCAACAGCCGCATTAAATGCGACCACATGCGATTGCCAGAGCCAACCAGTTGAGGTGACCCCTTGGCCAATGGACGCTTGACACGTGTCCCTGTCTGGCATTTATTATTACTATAAATAGCACCCCCTTTTCCCCCATTGTAGACAACGCTGAAAACGCTGAATACACTTTCTAATATACTCTCTCTCTACTTACTTGCTCTGACTTCTCTCTAGTTATTCCTTGTAATAACCTCTCGGATAAGCTACCCCCCGGGTACACTATCCATCACCTCCGTAGAGGTAGTGCCTCCAAATCTTCAATGAAAACACCACAACTCCTAGCTCTAGATCGTGGGTGGGGTAATTTACTTCATGTTTTCTCAACTGCCGAGAAGCATAAGCAATTACCTTCCCTGATTGCATCAGTACACATCCAAGCCCCTGGATGCTAGCATCGCTGTAGATGTCATACCCTAACCTTTGCATGGGTAGAGCAAGCACTGGTGCTTCAGTCAAACGTTTCTTTAGCTCAAGAAATCCCTTCTCACACTTTTCATCCCACACAAACTTAGCCCCCTTTTTAGTGAGCTTCGTGAGTGGAGATGCTATCACATCGAGAACTTGTCCACAAATTTGCGGTAATACCCCGCTAAACCGAGGAAACTCCTTATCGCCTTCACGTTCATTGGCCTCTCTCCCAATTAGTGACTGCTTCAATCTTGGAGTTGTCAACTGAGATGCCCGAACCCGATATCACATGCCCGAGGAAACCGATCTCCTTAAGCCAAAATTCACATTTAGAAATTTTGGCAAAGAGTTGCTTGTCTCGAAGCGTCTCAAGCACAAGCCTTAGGTGTCTCTCATGCTCTTCTTCATTCTTGAAATACACCAAGATGTCATCAATGAATACTATGACAAATTGATCCAAGTATTGCTGAAACACTCGGTTCATGAGGTCCATTGTTGGCCCCGGTTGTACTGGGTACAGTCTAGAGGGGGGTGAATAGACTGTACTGGTTTTTAACTTTTTCAAGCTAAGTACCAGATTTAACAGAATAGCCTGTTCTGTTGACAGAACAGACTGGCAGCGGATGGTCTTCTGGTAGGGGTTCTGTCCGGTTAGCCTCTAAGAGATGCAAAGGCAGTAGGCCTTCTGTTAACTCACAGGAGGGGTTCTGCTGAACATAGAGACCCAAATTCTGGAGTTAATCAGTTAAAGATAAATGCAAGAATTAAAAGCAGTAAGTAAATGACACCAGGGTTTTTTATAGTGGTTCAAGGAACAACTCGTTCCTCTAATCCACTGTTCCACTAAGCTTGTAAAAATCTAATTACACAGCCTTAGTCCTAGTACTTAAGAAGCTCTCCACGTCTTCTTCAAGTCTAGATGTGTAACACCCCCAAAATTCCCACACAAAAATACCTTTGAATAAAACATTATTTATTAACTTTATTTGAAAACATCAGAATTGTGCAGCGGAAAATCAAAAGGGAAATAGGGGCGTTACCGCCACACTCGGTTCTAACCTAACCGATCGAGTGCACAGGCTAAAATAATTTAAACTCAAAATAGATTAAACTTCTAAAATAAATGTTCACTAATTTAAGATGCTAAAAATGTAATTACAATTATTTACTAATTTTGTGTTCTAGCGGAAGCTCTCTCGAAATCAACTTCAACGAGATCAACTTAACACCTGTACAAAATCAAGTACAGAAAAAATAAAAGAAACAAAAATTAGCAACAATGCTAAGTAAGTTCCACCTAACCCCAAAAAAAATAAAAAAAATATAAATAATATATATATATATATATATATATATATATATATATATATATATATATATATATATATATATTTGTAAAACATTTTGTAAGTGAAACAATATTTATAAAATATTCTTATAACACAAATAATATGCAAAATATCAATATTTCAAATATAAGTACATATTTCAAAAACATAATAATTCCAAAATATCAATATACATAAACCACCAAATATGATCACATTTATTCCAAACCGTAAATCAAACATCAAATATTCATCTCAAAATACATATAAATAATTATAAACGATATTCAACATAATCAAACCAAATCAAATCCAAAAGTATGTATACTCTAAAAACTCACAAATAATTTAATAACTCAATCCAACTCAAATTCAATCCAAATATAATCCAATCCAATAATCCAACAATTCCAATCAATTCAATAATTCAATTCCACCACAAATCCAATCAAATAATATTCACCTCAAGTCGAACGTAAGCCGAAAATATAATATAAAGCATGAGTAATAAAAT